AACACCCCCCCCCAATTGCGCAAATCCACATAGCTGAACCGTGGTGGTCTTCTCCCTGCACCGTCCTGCTTCTCTTTTCTTTGTAATTTAGCATGCCTGTGCGTGGATCCAACTGCACACTTACAACACCCATTGACACAGATTTGTTAATGGGATGACTGCAAGTCCCATCTGCAAAAATGGCACTCGTAAATATCAATGAAGCACAAGCAAAAATCTGCTGGAGCCTGTACACTGCACCCATGTTGCAATGCTCGCAATTGCAATACTCTGCAGGCTTCATTGCAAGAATTTATTAAATGCTATTTTTTTTATTACTGTGGGTGCATTTATTACATTTTTGCTGAAGGCGGTAAATGCCCTTTAACGAGTGCTGAGATAAATCTGTTGTCTACTCAGGGATAGTAATGCATTTTTTTTTTAACAGCCCTCATACTAATAGATTTGAACAGAGAGGAGAACAATAGGGTGTGTGTTTCGTATTATTGAAGACCTTCCATGTGCACCTTTGCTTTGCTATTTATAAATTTATTTGTGCGGTTGCTATTTTTGTGTAGCTTGACAATAAGGTGCACAAGCCTGCATGCATCATCAGCAAGTATGGTCGGGTTGCCACCTTATACAGATATAATGAAAACTATAAAAATTGTTAAAAAAAATTCAAGCTGTTGCTGCTGACTGGTTAGCAGTGGAAAATCAGCACCAGTCGTTTTATTTAAACCTACACCGCGTATGCTCTCGACTGTGCTCTGTGTCTCCGCTGCAGGGAACTATTCAACATGGCCATTCCAAGACTGAATTTTCCATTGTGATGTTAATCTAGTCACTGACAGGCTTTGGGTAGTTACCCGGCCTAATTAGTGAACTCTTGCATATCCAAGCAATCATTTGTTGGTGGCAAAGTGGAGCCTGGATTCCGGTGCACCTGTGTTATATAACAAGTGGTGTCATCATTTCAAGCTCTGGTATAAAACACGCAACCACCTTGACACATACTACACATACATATATATATTTTTTTAAATGTGTAAGAATGTGAATGCGGTACAGTGGGCTTTTCCATTCACCAGTCAACCCCCTTCCACCCCCCACCCCCCTTCCACATCCCATTGTCTTCTCTTTATTGAATGACAAAACACACCGTGTTTTGGTTAATATTTAATAACAGTGTTTCAAATTAGATCCCCTTTTATTAGCAGGGGGGGAATTGATCTAATTCATGTACTGGAGGGAAAAATGAGCTTGCAAAATCACCTTTCTACATTTTCTGAGTTAATGAGCTGCATTGCCAACCTTTTTTTTCTTTTCTTTACAGCTTTATGCACACATTTGTAAAATTACGGCTTGGAAATGTTAACCTGTAGAGCAATGTGTACAGGAAGCATTCCTAAAGATTACAACAAGCATTAGGCAGCTTGATCCCTTCTAGTCCAACTTCATGGAACATTATTTCTATAGGGCAGGGGTCTGTAGGGCAAGGGTAGCCAAACTTCAGCTCTCCAGCTGTGGTGATACTGCAAATCCCACTATGCCTCTGCGAGTCATGGCTGCAGCTGTCAAGAGTCTTGCAATGCCTCATGGCACTTGTAGTTTAAAACAGCTGGAAGACAAAAGTTTGCATACCCCTGCTATAGGGTGAAACTGTACCATTTACTATTACATTTATTTATTATTAGTATTTATATAGCGCAGCGCTTTACATAGCACACATTCACATCAGTCCCTGCCCTCGAGGAGCTTACAATCTAAGGTCCCTATCTCACATGCACACATACACCAATTTAGACAGGAGCCAAATAACCTTCCAGCATGTCTTTGGAGTGTGGGAGAAAACTGGAGTACCCGAAGTAAACCCACCAAGCACAGGAGAACTTGCAAACTCTACGCAGATAGTGTCCTGTAAGTAAAGTAAACCCATGCAAGCACAGGGAGAGCATGCAAACTCCACACATATAGTGTCGTCTAGTTACATAGTTAGTCAGGTTGAAAAAAGACATATGTCCATCGAGTTCAACCTATAGGAGGTATGAAAACAAAAAGCTTAAACTGAACTCTATGCCCACAATTACCCCCTGTTGATCCAAAGGAAGGGAACAAAAACCCAATAAAGCATAGTTCAAATCTGCTCCAACATGGGAAAAAAAATTCCTTACTGATTCCATAAGGAAATCAGATATTCCGTGGATCAACAATCTCTGATGCTCAATATACCTATAAGAACTCAATATCCAGTAAGTAAAGTAAACCCATGCAAACTCCATGCAGATAGTGTCCTGACCAGGATTTAAACCAGGGACCCCCAGTACTGCAAGGCAGAAGTGCTAACATCCACGCCACTGTGTTGCCATACATGATAGGTGCTTATCCTAACACACTGCTACAAATCTATGCGATATAAGCATTATTTGAGAACCATATTGCCTACACTGACTGTATTCAACGGTTTCATTTATAGCCACATTTATAATTTGTTGCACGTTAGCATGCGTCAAGCAGCAGCTGAGAACTCTATCTACTACATTTTTGCTAATTGTGGTCATTGTATTTTCATCTGTCCATATAGACCATTCGCTGATTATCATCACTTGCTAGGAAACAACCGTAAATTATTTACAAAATGCTCTCCGTGTACACCGTTTGCTGGACACGAGCATCTGTCAGAATTACCTTCTGCCGTTGATTTAATACAACTTTATTTCCACAAGTCTGATCCGAATGTCTCTATATGGAATTATCTCTATGTGAAACCGCTTTACTTCATTAGAGGACTGACTCTGTTCATGACAACCTATATTTTTTCTTCAATCAGCGAAGTGATGTTGACTGCTTTATTTTATAGAAGATGATATTGACGGAGGGAAGGAATCTTTTCTAACAACTTTTATTTGTTATCTTCATACTTATGATTTGCAACAAAGTGTCTTGCCTGAGACTTATATTAAGAGATCTTCCGTCTACTAACATGCTATAGAACCAATCCATGCGGCTTTGGTTAATCAATGGGATTGACGCATTTCTTTCTCAATTATTACTCTACAAGGTTTTACATTCCCGTGTTGGATTTCAGGTAATAATGATCTATTATATTCAGGAATAATCTTCAACATGCAAGTGGTAAGATGCGATAACTGTGGACAGCTATGTTTTAATTGGACAGCTATGTGTCAATTGAATGAATAAGGTGGCCATTATAATAATTCCATTTGGGTAGACCTGTGAAGTCTAACAAGTGATGTTCCCTTTTACAATAGGGTGGTTGAGATTTGGGGTTACTATAGATATTGGACCTTTTGGGCGATAGGTAGAACTAAATACCAAACCAAAACTTTTTGTTTTTGTTGTTTGATAGAGTTAGGGCCCATTCACACAATGTCCAGATCATCTCCAGACCAGACCCGATTGTTGCCAGACCCAAAATGCATCCCTATGCTATTTCTGGCCTGCGCACCAGCGCAGTCCGTTCCAGACCAGACCAGACCAGACAAATACTGCTTGTCTTATTTTGTCTGGTCTGGCATGCACTGGAATGCATAAAAACACACCAAAACGGCATACAACCGCACTGGAACGCACCTGTAAGACCATTTTAAGCTAAAGAAAAAAATTCCAAACGCGGCAAAATCGCGGTTGAAAACGCAACAAACCGCAATGCACTGCATTCCAGATCTGGTCCGGAAAATGGTGTGAACCTACCCTAAGGGAGGGCTATAACCTCTGTTAGATTTTTTTATTCCCATGGGGGAGATTTCCCTTCACTTTCTGTCCAATAGCCACAACGGGAAGTGAGAGCAAACCCCTCCAAAGTGATGGGAATTCCTGGTGGTCAGCAGGGTCACCAGAACTAGGTCCCCATTGAAAGATTTCCTATTCCTGTTTTGGTGACAACCTAAAATTTGTGATTTTCTTTCCCTTTTAGTGATAATGGTCACCAGGACAAATAATGGGGGTGAATCACCCTAATTGGGGCAGAGACAGCAATATAAACCTGGCAGGGATTTTAATCCTTCAACACTCTATCCAAGACTAAAAAGAAAGGTTTTGGCTTCAGTTGCACATTCATAAAAAAGTATATTTACATATCTACATGTAGTGGTGACTGTATAAGATATTTCAGTCATAGGTTTAGATATGAAGGCATCAGTCTACACAGTGAGCTCCAGTCTCCACAAAGAATATTCTTTTTGATTACATCTCCCGGATGGTATCAGGATCTCTTGTTTAGCAATAAAAGAGGTCCTAGCCTTTCCCAGGCCTGCTAAAAACAATTTCTATTGCCATTGTTTCCCTATTGGATAGACTTCTTTAACCCCACTCCGTCTCTGGGCAGGAAGTGATACAAATGTAAATATGATCAGTGTAAATGTAAATTCTAACGTTTGTTTCTTTGTTTCATTTGCAATATTATCAGTATATCAGGGCAGTCATTTTGGTATATTTACATATCTAGACATCCGTGTGTGTTAACTGTTCCTCTTTCCGAACGGCAGTGTATCAGACTACACATGCTGACAGACAAGCAACACTGTTGCAATAATACCTCAAACGGCAAGTCAAGGAAAACAAGCTAAAAGTAACACTAAACTCAGGAGTTAAATCTTAAAAAAAGCTTTCACGTACCTTAAAGCGGACCTTTACACTCAAAAATCAAATTCTACCAATGCATCCCTCTATGTATGATGAATAATAATAATAATAACATAGATATGTCAGGTGTAAAATGCTGTGATTATGAAATACTTTAGACATGCAGAGCATTCACTTCCTGCTTTGAAAGGGCAAAATGACTTCAGTTTGGCCAAAGTAATGCACACTGGGAATGCCTTGTCATTTGCAGAGCATTGCTGGGAAATCTCATCTGTAATCTCAGGAGATCTCAGGGAAAGGCATTTCCCTCACCTGAGATGATGTGCATGGTCACATGTCAAGTCACATGTGCCAGAAATCCAGGAAGTAAAAGGAGAGCTAGTAATCTACCCTTAGTTAACATGGCCACTGTCAGAAGACTGGGGAAGAAAAGAGAAATAAGGCAAAGAATACAAAGTCTACAAATATCTAGAAGTATGTGTTCGTAGATTGTCATTACCAAACATTTCTAAAGGTATCCTTGTTGTTATTTTAAAGATCGGGGTAAAGGTCCGCTTTAACCATTATCACAAATCTACCTTATTTGCATATCCCTCAGGAGCGAGCTTGGAGCGGTGCCTACTTTACAACACACACAGGGACCATGGGAAAAAAAGGAAGAGAGAAAGCAGGGATGCACCGATGTATCGGCAGAAAAATGGCACTTTCGGCATTATGCCAAAAGTGCCATTTTCGGCAGATATGTTTTGGCGGCCGATATATCGGTGCATCCCTACTTTAACCCCTTAGTCTGTTGTATTGGGACGCTGGCTGTTAATTGCCTCATTATTATCTGCTCTGGTAGTGTCTAATCTACATTAAAAAAAAGTTCTACCGTTACACTACTGTCTTCTGGGCAACCAATCAAAGTGATCATAATGAAAAATCTCCCAGCAGATAAATATGTAATAGATGCTTGAGTGCAATTTTAACATTTAACGTTTAGTGTCACTTTAAAGTGAATCTGTCACTGGTTTAAAAAGACATAACACTTTGCCCTCTTGCTGGCCACCCAGTCAATCTGCAATCTCTTAAAAAAGCCTAGATTGCTGAAGAACCTTATGTATCCAACACACACTGGAGTATCAGATGCCTGGCCACTCTGCATTCTGGGTTCTGTTCGCTGGACCCAATGTCAGTATACGCCAGTGTGTGTTGAATACATAAGGTTCTTCAGCAATCTAGGCTTTTCAAGAGATTGAAGATGGGCGGGGTGGCCAGCAAGATGGCAAAGAATTATGTCTTTTTAAACTAGTGACAGATTCACTTTAAAGTGACACTAAACGTTAAATCATAAAATCGCATTCAAGTATCTTAACTATTAACAAAAATCTATCTTATTTGTGTATCACTCGGCTGTAGATCCTCAAATCATCTCTAAATTGGTGCCAGTGAAAGTAACCAAAATGTGCAGCAGAGAACCAGACAACCGACACCATAAGAAGTGTGTCAGATGCTCAAGATCCTTTTGCAGCCATTGCTCTTCAAGAAAAAGAGGATCTGCAGTGTGGGTAGTGGGGCAGGTGAGTAGTAAAGTGCATGCCAAAAAACAAAAATTCAATATACTGGAGATTACCAGTCATTAGATGTGGTAGCTGTATTCATTTCCTTTTTAAATTGTTTTCCCTTTATTTTTAACTAGTGATCCAGACAGTAACACTTCCTGTCCCAGGGTGACATCGCTCTCTTACCATAATGTATCTATAAAGAAGCAACATTATCACCCTAGGCTGCTCTCCAGAATTTGGACTCAAAATACCACTCCCTCTCTTCAACTCCATTACATAGGGGGGAGAAGGCCGATTGCTCTGTTTGACATTTCGGGACATTGCACGAAAAGTGCAAGAAGGACACACCATGTTTGGCAGGATCAATGTGTATTTTTCTGTCCTTTCAGAAAATGAATGCAGCCTCCACATCAAAGGACTGGCACGCTGCAATTATTTTCTTTCCAGTGACATCATTTTTTAATTGTTCTTTTCTAGCGACAGGGTCACTTGAAAACTTTACAAGTAGTTAAAGTTCCTTTTGCTAGCAGATTAACCTTAGGCTGGGGAATTTATTTACAACACTTATGACTTGCCCCTCCTATGTCAACCTTTTGCTCGTGATAAATTAATGAGCAGCTTGCAACGTTTTCCTCTTATTTTAGACACTTGGTACCTTTCTGTTCAGCATCCCCCACATCAGAGTGTCAAGGGTCCCTTTGGCGATCAGATAATGAATGTGCACGGAGTTACTCTGTCCGATGCGGTGGGCTCGATCTTCGGCTTGCTTTATGTGGCCGGGGTCCCAGTAGAGCTCAGCAAAAACAACGTGAGTGGCAGCTGTGAACGTCAGTCCCTGAACCAGGAAATTAAACAAACACAACGGTCTCCAAAGGACATAATGGAATGAATTCAGAAACAACAAAACCAACAACATAATTATGCACTGATGTTCTTATTTGCTTTGTTATAATAGAAAACACTCCAACTTAAAATAGACTTTGCAAAAAAAAATAAAAAAATTACGGTCTAAAGATTGGCCACAGTTCTGATAAGAAAGTGTAATAGGCAATAACATTATCTGGGTTATATTCTGGCCCATTACCGCTTGAATTCTGCCATGGCAGGAAGAAAGTGTCAAAATGATAAGACAGTTCACTGTTCACCGTTTCTAAAATGGCCATCACATGATCACATTTTAGTCCAATTAACTGTTGGAGTGGAAGCTCAGGCAATTAGGAAGTAAATACTCCAAAGTGTGTCAATATAAACATAAGTACCAGAATACAGTTTACACAGGAAATACAAAGCATATGCGGACCACACATGGCTTTAATTTCTCTATTGGGTCACGGGAGTACAATTACTAATGTCCTCCTGTGACCCAAACTCAGCATATAGCAGGCTACCACCCTCTATATGCTGACAGCGCACAGCCATGCTGCAGCCGGAAAAGATTATGACAATATTGTCGGGATCCACCCCATTGCCTGATTGACAGTTGGCTCTGCCTCTCTAAAGCCAGCTGTGGCCGCCTCCTCCCCTGTCTGTCCCTCCAATGAGCACTGGAGGAATGGTGAGGGGAGGAGGGAATCCTTGCAGGGAGCGGTGACTGACAGTCACAGCACTCTGCAGAGTGAAGACCATGAGCTGAGCGATCAGCGGTTTGTGATCGCTCAGTTCTCGATAAATAGAGCCGACATTTGACAACTGCAGTGTCACACGTCTGAGATGAGTGTAATTTACTCTTCCTATAGTTCTCCTTTAAAGTGTATTTCCACTTTTGTAGTCAAAACTAAGAAACCCTCCACTATATGTTTGTTATGTTCCTATTCACATTACATATCTTAACCAGTTGACATCCGGGGTGTTAAACCCCCTTCCCATCCAGGCCATTTTTCAGTATTCAGCGCTGCGGTACTTTGACTGACATTTATTCCGTCATGCAACGCTGTACTGAAATTAATTTTATACCCTTTTTTGGGGACAGATAGAGCTTTCTTTTGGTGGACTTTTTAGATCTCTCCATTTATGATCTTGTCTCAATTTCAGTAACATCAGTCTAACAGAAACACTTAAGACAGACGAAGGATGTCATTATTAACATACAATGAGGGGAATTTATCCAAACTGGAGCAGACAAAATCTAGAGCAGCTGTGCATGCCAACCAATCAGCTTCTCTCTTTCATTTTTAAATCTTAACTGAACTAGAAGAGGGAAGCTGATTGGTTGCCATGCACAGCTGCTCCAGGTTTTGTCTGCTCCAGTTTAGTTAAATTCCCCCCAATGTCTTCAAGCCTTCATCCCTTTGTTAGGACAGCAGTCCTGCTCATCTAGTTTACAAATGATAATAAAATCAGCCAACACAGTAGAAGCAGGGCAACATTTTTTGAACCAAACCCCCCTCCCCCCAACATTGAGAACTAAGCAGGATTTTCAATCTTGGAATTAACAGAAAGAACATCTAAAAAAAAAGTAAGCAAGCTGCAAGTTTTAATTTTTTTTTTAAAGTTACGCTATGTGAATTGATGTAACAAACATAAAAGTAGGTGTTAACCCAATTTGTCTGCAAAAGTGGGAATACAAATTGAAAAGAACATTTTTGATTCTGTCTGTAAACCCACTGGTGAGACATCCTGTTATATCAGCAAGATAATATTACAAATTGGTAATGTAATGTCTAGCGTACAGAATTTGACATAGAATACTAATTTCCATGTCTACCCATCAGAGTTATTTAAAATTGTCCTTTTTCATAAATTTTTCAGCTATTATCTTTTTTTTTTTTTCCATTCTCCTAAATACATTTCATATTCTGTTATCCCTTGCTAAATGAAAATTCCATCCCTTCTCTGTATGGGGAAAATAAAAGAATAGGAAATGTTAAGGAGACAACTATTTTAGTTGCAAAAAACTAGAATAAAAAAAAGAGATTGCAATATGGCATCTCTTCCTAAATATACACCGAGTGGCCAGATTATTATGACATCAGTACTTCGTTGGGCCGCCTTGTGATGTTGAAAGGTGATGCGAGGAATCTGACACGGCACTGTTACCCTTCTGTTGTCTTGTACCAGTCTTGCCACTCTCCGTTCTGCCCTAACATTGACTAGTCGCTGACGGCCACAATTCGCACGTTCAGACCCAGATTTTCGGCTGACAGTCCGGTCTTTAAACACTTTAACAACAGCTGCTCTTGAACATTTAACGAATTCTGCTGTTTTGCTGATACTCGCTCCCTGGCTCCGAGCGCCAACAATCATCCCACGTTCAAAGGCTGTTAAATCGCGTTGTTTCCCCATATCTTCAGAAACAAATCACTTCTACTGTCGTGGTAAACAACCTGCTTCCCTATTTATAATGGTCTGGCCCTCTAGCAACTTCAGCACGAAATTATAGCTAATTTGCCTACAAATGTCAGGTGGTCATAATAATCTGGCCACTCAGTGTAGATCAGAATGTACATAAGGTGCAAATAAAGAAAAAAAAACACAAACACAAATGTAATATAAAGGGTTTTTGAAGTGCATTTCCACTTTCGCAGTACAGCTGAGATAACACCTACCTTCTATTTGATACATGTTACCATTTACATAGAATAATGTTAAAATAAATACATATTGCTACTTACCTTTTTAAAATTCTCTTTTCTGAAAAATCCTGCTTAGCTTAATTTTCTATGTAATATTTATGAGGGAGCAGGGCAGTTGTGTTTGCCATATTTAACCCTACCTGTGCTGCGCTGGCAGCCTTGAGTGTTACATTGTATACAAATGTGCCATCTCTCAGTCTCCTCTCTCTAGTCTATACATTATCACCACATTGCCATCTTTTCAAAGCAATAGGAAGTGCCCATAGACTCCTATGTATGATTCTGCTCCACATAAACAACTAAAAGGTAAGGAATATGTTTTCAATGTTTTTAGGTATGCTGTGTGAAGGGGAACATATAACAGTAGGGGTTTCTCAAATTTGACTGCAAAAGTGGAACTACACTTTCACCTTTGATTTAATAATAAACAGGCCTCATTCACACAGGGTGTCCTGCTCTTTACAGCGTGAAGGGACGTTTTATTTTAAGTGCCTGTAACTGCGAGAAGAAGCAGGCAGGCAGCTCATGTAAGTCTATGGAGACGGAGGAGTTGTGCCCCCTTCACATGCTGCTTACCGCAACTCAGAGTTTTGACAGCCGCACACAGAGACGGTGCACGGACCTGGATCCATCATGTATGCGTGTGAGGCCATACCCTGCATGTGTGCGGCTGTCAAAACTCGAAGCTGCAGAAAGCAGCATGTGGGGGTGAACAGCTCCTGCGCCTCCATAGAGTTAAATGAGCTGCCTGTACGCTTCTGCCCGCAGCTCCGGGCGCATTACAAATGGCCCTTCACGTTGGACGGAACAATACACTCATGTGAAGGAGGCCATGGAAGTAAGGTTTTAAATAGCTCACATGGGATATGCAAATTAGTCATGTATTTGAAATGTATTACAATAAACATTAATTATTTGAAACGTCAGATACAGAATAATGATGGTTTATTGGAATGAAAACATCTTTAGATGTAGAAAGAGAATGAAAAGGAACAGCAAAAAAGGACAAAAAATAAGGTTATAACCATATTCTATCTGGAACAAAATAAAAAAATCAATTAAAGTTTCCCTTTCCCCAAGTTAAATTGGATATATAACGATCGTGTGTTTTTAACGTGATCACAGGGAATTGAAGCTTATAGCACTTTAAAGGACTGTGTAAATGCTAGATGATCATGAACATCTGCCTCCCTGCTTATCCATGCGATAAAGCAGACCTGCATTGTCAATGAGTACTTAGTAGAGAAATTATGGAGAAAAAACAGAAGAAAACTACTACTAGGGTGAATAGGAAGAAGTTCATTACACACTAGATATCAACAATGGTTCTATATTATTAAAGTGACACTAATCTCAGGAGTTAAATCTTAAAAATACTATTCATACCTACCCATATGTTTGGTATTGTAGAACCAAATTATTAACATCTTTTGAAGTCATAGTGGTACTTAATAGACTAGTCATCATATTTTTTTAAAAGTATGGTTAAGGCAGTATGGGGACATAAGGGGCAACATGTGTTGGGGGTCTGTAATTGTAAAAAGGTTAAATTGACACTAAACTCAGGAGTTAAATCTTAAAAATACATTCAAGTACCTTCACTATTAACAACAATGTATCTTATTTGTGTATCACTCGACTGTAGATCCTCCAATCATCTCTGAATTGGTGCCAACACTGTCGTTCCTTCTGGAGGGGGGGGCTACTTTTGTTCCCCAAGGTCCCTGTGTGTGTTGTAAAGTAAACCAGCCCTCCAGCTGTGGTGAAACTACAAATCCCATGATGCATCTCTCTTCGGGAGTGGTGAGAATCTTGCAATGCCTCATGGGATTTGTAGTTCATCCACAGCTGGAGGGCCGGAGGTTTGCTACCCCTGCACTACAGGATGTACGAACCGGCGGGAGGAACCATTGCATGGGGCAGGGGTGGGTATTTGACTGATCCAACTGGTCAAAACACTTGCAGAGGCTGGTGAGTAGTGAAAAGGCCGGATTAACAGAGTCTACTGGAGCACCAGCTTCAGGCCCACCACTGAAAATAGACCCCAATTGATTAACATAGAGGCTACTTGAGCCCTAGCTTCAGGCCCACCACTGAAAATAGACCCCAATTGATTCAGTATGCCAGAAGGCAATCTGGGCCGGCCAGGATGATTACAATCAGGCAGAGGCCCCATCGGCACTCTAATCAGGCACATTAGGTGGCCCCTCATTGGGACCCAAACGATCGGCCGCCTGATTAGAAAACCGCCTCTGTTGCTTTTTAGGGTTGCCACCTGTCCGGAATTCACTCGTACAGTCCAGTTTTAAGTCCTGTATGTGCTGTTCCTGGGTTTTAGGCCAATTGAAACCCAAGCACAAGATGTCATGATGTCTTGGAGGGCACACTCCCTGTCTCTCCTCACTCTTTCTCTTCACTCATCCTCCTGTTCTCTCTCTCCTGGCCATCTCTCCACGCTTTCTCTCCTCACTCATCCTCCTGGCTCTCTCTCTCTCGTGGCTTTCTCCTCTCTCTCTCTTGTGGTTGTCTCACATAGTGTCCAAAAAAAAAAGGACATGACTGGCCGGAAAGGTAGGTGCATACCGGAAGTAGGTACCAGTCTTGCCACTCTCCGTTCTGCCCTAACATTGACTAGTCGCTGACGGCCACAATTCGCATGTTCAGACCCAGATTTTCGGCTGACAGTCCAGTCTTTAAACACTTTAACAACATCCGCTCTTGAACATTTAACGAATTCTGTTGTTTTGCTGATACTCGCTCCATGGCTCCGAGCGCCAACAATAATCCCACGTTCAAAGGCTGTTAAAATCGCGTTGTTTACCCGTATCTTCAGAAAACAAATCACTTCTACTGTCGTGGTAAACAACCTGCTTCCCTATTTACAATGGCCTGGCCCTCTAGCAACTTCAGAGCGAAATTATAGCTAATTTGCCTACAATCGTCAGGTTGTCATAATAATCTGGCCACTCAGTGTATACTGTAAATATTTCTTATGTATTGCTTCCCCTAAACCTTGAAACACCATCATCAGTTTTATGATACATCCCATGTGTACCATTCAAAATTTGTAGGTTTCATCATCAAGAGCTCCTCACCTGCCCAGCAGCCTGGATGCTCAGTATAGCCACCCTCGTGTCTGGGTCATTCTGAAACTGGTGCACAAGGTGTATTCTTTCCGATGATGGGACGCTGCCATCAATCCGGATATAACGAGCCTGGGAGGAAAAAAAGTTTATTTTGAAATCCTTGGCCTGTAAAAGTTATTTTTGTGTTCTATTTGATACAAAATGTGGTAAATATTAATCATTATAATTAATGTATGTTATTTTATTTTTTTAAAGAGACCAGTTTGGTACAGACTTCCTGTGTGTAGGGTACAGATGAAAGGGCGTATAATACCCTTCTTTCATTGCCTCAGTATGACAATACAGTGAAACTTAGAGCCTTGGTTGACGGGCTTTGTGTTTGTGTCAATGGTATCAGTTTGAGATGCTTCTGAGACCATTCAGAATTCATCGACAGCTGCATTTGACCTGCAGTTAACCTACTTCAAGAAGGTTTTTCCTATAGACTTGTATGAGAGTGCAAAAACCAGTTAAAGCAAACCACAGCTTATCAACAAAGGCTCCCATGTTAAAGCAACCCTTTCATTTGCCGATAGGAACTATTCAGCTAAGTTAGATCTCACTAGTTTATAAATCAGGCACTCTGCCCCCCCAAGGATCCAGTAAATCCCCAATTGGGTTCCACCCTCTTGCTTCCCACACAACATAGAAAAGTTGAAGCCAGGCATCAACCAAAGCCTCACTGTGCAAACATATGCCACAGATCTCTGAATACATCAACGACCATGAGGAGTGGTTAAAGACGGGTATGAGAGACTAGATTAGGGATAGGCAAACTCTGGCCCTACAAATTTCACCATGCATCTGCCTCATGCCTGTGGCTGTAGTAGTCTTGCAATGACTAATGGTACTTTTACTTGCACCACAGCTGGAGTGCCGAGGCTGCCTACCCCTGGACTAGATGGCGACTTACGGCAAAAAGTCAAATTCTGCATATCGAAAACAAACCCGCTAACTTTACATGTTCTCGGGAAAGGAAGAGTGTTTTTGAAAGAGTTGCTGGAGTGGATTACAGAAGAGAAAGGAAAGGTTCACTTTAAGTAAATGCAATGAAATCGCTCCAGGAGTGGAGCTTTGTTGGGGGATTATCCCCCCATTTGCTGCAACTACCGCTATTACAGCTTTACGGCTTAGCACACAGTTTTGGACTTCACCTTCCCTTCCTCAAGTGCTCCATGGGATAATAACCAGAATAATCCCGCAACGTTATTGATCTCCTGCAGCAAGGTCTATGGATGTGATTGATGACATCGGTAGTTCCTGGTTTGTTTTAGTTGAGGCTGCCCACAATGTATTGCTTGTTGCCTTTGGTGGTGTAATTGTTATATTCATCAGAAGATTTCTTCATCGTCATATTTATACACATGCCATGGTACGATTTTATTATATATCTACCAAGTGTATAGAATCGGACTTTTAAGGTACCCCTCAAAGCACAACCTTGTGTAACCTTTTCAAACAAAACTTCTTTTTATTTACACACACACACACAACAGATTAAAAATACACTCACTGGTCACTTTATTAGGTACACCTTCCTAGTATTGGGTTGGACCCCCTTTTGTCTTAAGAACTCCCTTAATTCTTCATGGCATAGATTCAACAAGGTGCTGGAAACATATTCCTGAGAGTTTGGTCCATACTTATTGACATGATAGCATCACGTAGTGGCTGCAAATGTGTCGGCTGCACACCCATGATGCGTATCTCCCATTCCAGCACATCTCAAAGGTGCTCTACTGGATTGAGATCGGGTGAGTTTGGAGGTCGTCTCAATTCAGGGAACTTATTATGTTCAAGAAACCAGTCTGAGATGATTTTAGCTTGTCACATAGCACGTTATCCTGCTGGAAGGAGGCATCTCTTTATCTCCTATAATTGCCTTGATGGGTGGACATCTATCTGGAGGAGTGGGTATTCCTAGATAGCCTGAATCTGCATGCAGATCACCTTAGGTAACGTTGAGACCTTCATGACTGAAAGAACTACTGTCAAAATTGAATGAATGAAAGAGATGGGCCAAGGACAGTCAAGCAGGGTAGGTAAGTGATAGATGATGCTGGATGTCGTTCAGCCAGGACAAAAAAGGGGAGCTCAGTCTGACTCTAGATTCTAATGCACATTATGAGAAGCTCGCAGTGTGCAGTAAAATCAGAGTAAGCAATTTCAGTCCAGGAGAGGAGCCAGTACAACTGTGCGGAAATGAGGGGAAGGCCGGAGTTCAGCTTTAATGCCACATCCTGCTACCTTCTTTGAAATTGCCTGTTCGCAATAATCTCCATTTATCATTGCAAGTCTTCTCCTTGCAGCTAGACTGCACATAATAAACACTTGGAAATGTTTATTTGCATATGGAAAGAGATGTAAATCGAGCAGGTGTGTTTACTTGCTTATGCGCGTCTATTATAACTATGAATTATAGTGCCATTTACCAAAGCTCCAGCAGACACAGACAGCCTTTAACAGAGGAACCCGATCGATACGTATAATGAGGTTAAGCACAAAGGAAGCTGCACATTGAAGGCATGTTGAAGAAAAATAAAGAGGGACTGCCTCGCAGAGCTTACGATTAAAGCAGGTTATTAATTAAACTGTCAGTAGCGGTTTATTGACCGTGGCTCTTTGACAACTCGCAATGCCGGGCTATTAATGGCCCGAAATCACTCCCAATTAAGATTTCAGCATCTCCCCCGGGACCTTCCAACGCAGTTTTAGTAAATATGAAAGGAGGAAGAGCTCCTCTGAACAATTACAGATAAATTCAGCAGTGACAGTCAGGAAGAAAATCCTGCCCAATTAATCCAAAGCCTTTAACAACAGATAGCGGAAGCAGCCATCTTGCAGTTTGCTTCCCAACAACTTAAAAAGAAAATAAAAAGACTTTGTCTTTAGAAATGGTGGCGAGATAAAAAGATGGGGCGTAAAGACAACAGAAAACATGAGCTGTCCTTGAGCACTAGTCCAGTAACTTTGCCTAGGCTAGGAGATGTCATTAGTCTGCTGCAGGCAGGAGGAAGCATTTCCTTTGTTCCCTCTCCCTCAGTGATCAGCCCGCAACACGTGTGTTGCAACTTACAAAGTGATAGGCTGCAGAAAGGGGCTGATCTGCATGGGCACCCCGGATTTAGAGGGCTCTGACATCTCTGAGCCAGCATCCAGGTAGAAGATTCTGATCCTACATGATTACAGAACAAATATGAACAATAAAAGCAGGTGGCTGTATGGTCAGGGGGAGTTCTGTGCACTCTATAAGTGGTGATGTGTAGACTTGCATATTACATAGCATGCGTGAACAGGAAATAAACATCTGTCGCTCTTCCATTTTACATCGACCAGCAACTTCAAATTCTGTCCACATGTGTTACTGCTTTTCTGATATATTTGAAGGGACAGCTGACAACAACAGGAAGATGGCCCCGCAAAGCCCTACTGACCTATAAACTGGCCACTTCCTTTTGAGAACATCTGTGTGACAAAACGCGTGAAGGCGGGGCTTGCTGAAGCTAGTGCGCATGCGGGACGACATGAGCAGATGCCGGCTTTTTAATACTTTTATGTAAGTGGATGTTTTAATAAAATTGTTGCATTGATTTACTACTCTATGAGCACTCTATATTTCTTTATGTTGGCGATGGTTCAACTATTGATGTATTGAGGAGAGATGACGGACTGAGGCGAATTGCAGGACAGTTATTGGCCGTGAAGTTAACATGCTGGATGGGATCGTGTTTTAATGGAATTCTAAACGCTGTTCGACCCTCTGGAAACAGAGAGTCAGTGAAATCTGGTGAGTGCTTTGGGGAGAGCACAGAGGGAATGCCAAGTTTGCACGGCACTCATGTGAATAGATCTTCACAGAAATAGGATTATTGCTGCTTGTCATTCACTTACGATGGACACTATTGCATTTACATAATTGGTGGTGGTAATACACTATTTTGCCAAAAGTATTGGGACGCCGGCCTTTACACGCACGTGAACATTATTGGCATCCCAGTCTTAGTCCGTAGGGTTCAATATTGAGTTGGCGTCCACAAGGTTTAAGAGTGTGTCTATGGGAATGTTGGACCATTTGTGAGGTCAGGTTCTGATGTTGGAGGAGAAGGCCGGGCTCCAAGTCTCGGCTCTAATTCATCCCAAAGGTGTTTCTATGGGGTTAGAGGTCAGGACTCTGTGCAGGCCAGTCAAGTTCCTCCACCCCAAACTTGCTCATCCATGTCTTTATGGACCTTGCTTTGTGCACTGGTTCGCAGTCATGTTGGAACAGGAAGGGGCCATAGTCACATGTCTAGTCATATGTGCCAGTAATCCAGGAAGTAAAAGAAAAGCTAGTAAAGTAGAAAGGAAAGTGAGCTGAATTAGATAATTTTTCCAAATCGGCTATGTTGTCCTAGATTGTTCACTTCTCCTGCCTTCTCCAAACTCGTCACCCTTTTGTGTATAGACCTGATACATCACCCAGTAAAGTATTTTTTGAAATTTTTGCAGAAGCACTTACAGTCGTCATGTTTCTAAACAGCTCAAACTCTCTCAGCTTGGCTTCCCTGAACTTCCACAAGTTCTGTCCCCGCTGCCTAACGTCATCAGAAGGTGTTAAATATGTAGTGTATGTTGTGCTTTTTGTTCTAGTTTAAAGCAGAACTCCGGGTACAATTTGTATTAACCCTTGCAGTGGGGCTACCCCTGCACTGTAAGGGTGCAGTGCTCGTTTTTGTCTAGGTTCAAAAATAAGAAAAGTTATACTCAGCTGATCCTCGGAGCTGGTGTTCTATCGAAAGCTCCAACTCGTAGAAATCTCCAACTACCTCACTGCCGGGTACTTTCAATTTGGAGATTTTCGACCAGACGGCGTTAGACTGCAAAACACAAAGACTGACGGAGCTCTGTACAGCTGCATTTTAACAATATTCAGCAGGTGGCAAACTCGACGAGTATTCTGAAAACGATATGCCCGCATGCGCACCGCAACTGTACAGAGCTCCAGTCTTTCTGAGCACCGGAAGTGAGGTAGTTAGAGATCTCGATGAGTTGGAGCATTCGATAGAACACTGGTTTGCTCTTAAACCTATCCCTTCCTCCTTGGTCCTCCTTCAGCGGCCTAAGGTCCCTGAGTCATCACATTCTATACACAGTGTATAGGACATGAGGATGCTGATGGACATAGCATCGCTGCAGCAGAGGAGACAGGCAGAAGGGAGGGATGTCACTGCCAGATCGGGTGAGTATATCTTTGTTATTTTTGAACCTAGATAACAATGAGCACTTAACCCTTGCAGTCCCGGGGTAGCCCCACTGCAGGGGTTATTAAAAATCTTACCCGGAGTTCTGCTTTAAATGATCGTATAAAAAACCACATGATGAGCATCTATTACACTTACACGCGGATTCTTTTTAAATGTACCATTTTACTGGCAGGGAGAATTATTACTGTTTATGGAACAATCTTTCATACGAGAGATTGTTCATGCAAAACATCGCTCATACCTCTGGCAAGCCCCGCGTGTGAGTAGGCGTAGCTCGGAGCTCTTCTGTAAATAACAAAATCACATGACTGACACTTGTATGGAGAGATGGATTAGGTTACCTTGTTCTCTATGGCAGCCTCTGTGCAGGCCTGCAGCATGGAGAGATGGTGCGCAAACACCAAGAACTTCAGCTTGTCATTCTCCAGCATCATTTTAACGTAATCCTTCACGGCCCCAGCCTGGGAAAAGAACAAATAAGTCTCAGTGCGCAATACAACTGATGCACGGCTGCCTGTGCCTAGTAATCTGCCACAGCTTCCAGATAAGTTAAACGTCCGTTGCTTTACTGCACGGGAGGAATGTCATGGACTGAGCTCTGCGTAACGTAATCTTGACAATAACACCGGTGGGATTATTTATTAAAACTGAACTCCAGGCGGACATAAAAGACACAAATGAATGCAGCTTTGTTATCCTAAATGTGTTTTTTTTATGCCAATGCAAACAGTGTAGGTACCTGATATCAGCCTCCTAAAATCCGCTATATAGCAGCACTCAGAAGGAAAAGCAGCCAATCACTCGTGCTGTAGTGCTCATGCTAATAAGGGACATGCTAATAGGAGGAGAAAGCAAAGTGACTGAGATGAGCTCATCAGTCTGACGCTTCTCCTGTAGACGTTCTGATGGGGCGTCAAACCAAATGGGTGAAAAATCCAAAGAGTATTTAATGATACAATTACAAAAGGAAAAAACAGCCAACACTCCCCCTTCATTAGGTCTTAAAACAATGACATGGGGACATAAAAGACCTTAAATTGTCCTGTTGGACTGTAGTTTATGCGATCAGTAACATTTATCCTTATACTGTCTCTTCATAAGGTGGGCAGGAGACCTGTAAATGAAAGTGACATCGCAGCAGAAAAAACAGGTCTCCTCCCCTGAGGGCTGTGCTGTGGGGCAGAGCTGTGTAAATCTCAGAATTGGATGGAGAGAAAGACAACGCCTTTTGTCAGGTAAAGCAGCTAACCCATGCATTTGATCTATGTATTTAGCTCTTTGCCTGGAGTTTAAAGTGACATTAAAGGATACATTTTTTCCCTCCCCCCCATGTTAATGTCAGCACTTACCTTAAATTAGGTCTCTTAATCCGATCTTCTTCTTCTTCTTTCCCCAGGTTTTCATCTGTCCCTCCAGCGGTGCGGCGGCTCTCCGATCCAGCGCTGACTCCTCTCTGCTAGCAGGCACTTCCGATCCCATGGTGTCCGCATGCAGGTGCACGCGTCCATAGACTTACCTTGCGTCTCTGCTCGTCTCCCGCCTGAGAATCCGAACTGCGCATGCGCACGCCCCAAGATGCTTTGCGGCCGCCCGAGCAGTTTCGTTTTCTCGGACGAGAGCGCGCAGCTGAAACAAGGTAAGTGTTAAGCACTGTTAAAGCGTTTTGTTTTTTTTTAACTTTTTGCCTATATCAACTGCTTGATAGCAGTAGATATAGGCAAAAAAACGGGAGGGTTTAGAACCACTTTAAGTTTTAAGGCCGTTCAAAAGGCAACGATGATGTGAAAATTGCTGTAAGTTAATACGTTTTCCATTTACAATAGTGAAACCTGTAAAAGAGGTAATATGAGTGGACACCTTGAAGCACAACACTTTGCGCGATATATCCAGATGAGTAAAATGTGATTTTATATAATAGCGTTCAAAGCAAAGTGTCCCACGGCAATCGATCAGCAGGCGGTCTTCATTGCTTTGGACTGCTGAAAAATGCAATATCTGGTTTGCTGCTTTGGGATATGGCACACTGCCATAGAGGGGTAGGATTCCTACTGAGAACAATCTGACATATAGGTTTCTGATGCAACGGAAAACTTTATATTTCGATCATAGAAAAACAACAAGATTTACCCACATATTGCGGCCCAGAGGAAGCAGGCTGGTCTTAGACATGTACATGTGATCTATCTGTCAAATGATCCTTCTGATGGAAGACCTCTCTATAAATATGCAGGCTCAGGTAGATCCAAAGTGCATGTTTATGATTTGAAGGCAACCCCAGCGGTGGCTTCTCAAAGAAGATCAAATCCAACTGATGGATTTTCTCCCCTGAGAGAACCAAGCTGGGAGAGGTCTAGAGATGAATGGAGTGAGTGCAGACTCAAGATCATCTCCCAATCCAATTGAAGCTGGCAGACTGATCAAAAATCATTGTATGCCTGTAAGCACCTCAAGAAATGTATCCTAGTCATAATCAGAGAGGAACACATCATTTGATGTGTCTTCAGAGTGCCCCGTGAGCATCAGGTGAAATCTATTATACAGATATTAACTTCAATCCATGAAGCTGACATTTGGCAACACCCCCTCTGCCCATTTCCTGTACCTTACCACCTCACCGGCTGTGAAGTGTGCAAGGGGACGTAAAAAGGTGCCCCGAGCTATGTAGAATTGTAAAATTGCAGGACTGAAAACTAACGTGTCACACTCCTCATATTTGTCCAGATACATCTTTATTCAATGTAGGGCTGAGAGGACTGTACAGAAATAGCCAACACATTTCGGGGGTCTCATACAAATACCCCCTTCATCAGGGCTTACTAACAGAGAACACATATCAGGACTGTGGTGGCTTGTAGAGGAATCTCGGAGTGTCTTAAGTGAATTCATATGCACAGTTTAAAATATGCCATTGATAGATAAGTCGCCTTCTAGCCCAGCCATGCAACAGAGAGATCACAAGTCTATGGACATCCTGGCAGAGCAGTTTAGGTGTGGCTGAACAGTTCATAAAGGATTTCTCCCTTCCAGCCCAGCCATTTAGAAAACAGAGAGATCACAAGTCTATGGACATCCTTGTTGAGCAATCTAAGGGTGCCTGAACAGTTCATAAAGGACTTCCCTCTCCGAGTCCAACCATTTAGAAAACAGAGAGATCACATGTCTATGGACATGCTGGTTGATCTAAGGGTGCCTAAACAGCCCATAAAGGATTTCCCCAACAGACTGCATATTATAAACCTCCCACGTCACCCCTGAAAATTAGCCATAAATTAGGCTTAAATATCCTCCCACCACACATGAATAAATATATATGGAAACATATGCAATCTACAGTGTTTATAGGCTATATTGTGTGCTCAGCTGAACAATGTCAATAATAACATTCTGAAATAATTTTAAAGCACACAAAAGTTGATCTGTGTAGCCTGTCATGCTCAGTAACCAAATCACGAAATTATGACGGTTCTGTTAAATTGAAATGCTGACAGTATTTCCAATTTACATTAGGTATTATATTAAAGAACATTAATAGATAAGAATTACATTTATTATGCAGAAAATACCCAACTGTAACATGTTTATTTAATTAGGCTATAAATGCGTTTTTTGCACACTCATTGTCACTTTCCACTAAATAGGCAAAGTGCTGATTTTTCTTAGGAGACGATACGAGTTGAACCTACGCTGAAAGATTTAAAAAAAAAAGGGAATTGTTCTTTGCTGAGCCAGGACAATTCTAAGTGCAAAGAGAGAGTAATCTACAGAAACGGGGTCTCTCATCCCTGGTAGAAAGGGTATTTTTGTGTACCATTTCTTATTACATATACTATAGGGTCCTTTAAATGTTGTCATTTCAATGTAGACATTATACTAATACTAGTATTTGGGTCTTGAAAATCAGGCAACAGTTTAGCATATAGAAAGCACCCATTAAAGATGAACGGCCATTTTGTCCTTGACCAAAAAATTGCACCCCCCCTCTTTCCCCAAATAAAACAAATGTGCTCTAAGTCAAACTGAAGGGAAATGCCATGTTAAAGTTTGACACCTTGCAAACTGGAATTTTAAGGAAACATCCAGATGAACGCTTTTCCTATTTCCTGTCATTTCAACACACACTAAATGTAACATGAAGATAATTATATTTTGCTCTGTCTGTTCGCCAGTCTATACATTCTCATACGCGCTGGAGCAATACAGGTATCAATGATGTCATGGATTTTAATTAGTAATGAATAATTTACTGCATACCGCTGTAACCCACGCAACCCTAGAGACAGGCAAAGGCTCTAAATTGACAGGAGACGCTTGTAAATCACATTAACCCCTTCCGCTCCCTCCGTCTGGCCTTGGGGGGGGAGCGGGCGCGCTCAATGCTGCGCGGGCACCAGAGGTAGCCGAGGGGTTAAGTCTTCAAGTCAACGAAAACCTTCCACAGAAAGGAGAGACCGAATGAACAAATGCATTAATAAAGTATTCGGCGTAATGCGCTCATTAAACTGCGGGCTTGAAATATACCATCATTTAGTCCCTGTCCCTTCCCTAACTCTCTCACACTATTTATGAATTCTGTCCCTTCCTAATGATAATTTTATCTGGCAATAACAATGTGTCACTTATTAATAATAGAAACGTATCTGGGAGGAAAAAAAAAAAAAGTATTTCATTTATTATTCATGATGTTAAAGTCTATAAGAGGAGTATTTGAAACAATCAAATAACAGTTTAAGGAGAATTTCCACGTGAACTTGGTCAGGTTGGGCAGCTGGGATTAGCTATTAAGAAAGCTCTTTGAGAAGAAATAGTAGGACCTCATGTTTATATAATATTCTCATTTACATAATGCTTTCAGAAGATATCAGGGACAGGTAAAAAAAAAAAAAGGCTTTTTAATGCGGTAACACGGTGTCAGGTTTTTTTTTAGCTCCTTGATGCTTTGCTTTTTTCAAGGGGTAACATTTATCCGATCTGGCGCTCGGTGGTTAAGCCAAGTTACGCGATCCTATGAATATCTGTTTGTCTCTAAATGAGGTAGACATCTGTGAATTTTTCATGGGCTGTGGAAATTATGCGCAACTGAAAAATCAAAAGCTTTAGACTGAGTTGCGAGACAATGCTGGTCAGAAGGGGGGTTGTATAGAGAATGTGCAACTCAGTAAATTATATTCTGATCCACTTTGAAGTCTTAAAGGAGAACTCTTTTAAAGGGGAACTGATGCAAAATAATCTGCTGCTGCTGAGCAAATAAGCCCTAAAAAATTACTTGGATCTCTAATGTAAATGCACCTTTTTTTCATTTTAATACAAATTAGAACGGTACGTGCAGGCAGCATGCCTAGTAACAGTCATTATTCTAAGGATATTCCAGATAGGGAGATAAGTTCCGAGTCACCTCCTTCTAATGGTTTGATCAATTCCCCTTCAGTTTCCACAAAGGCCACTGTTGACCGTACCTGGCATC